CCCCGCCTGGTTTCAGCACAGGCAAGATAACCCCATCCAACAGACCATGCGGGACACGCTGTGCTGCACCAACAGCCGAATACAACGCTGCCAATAACGGTGCAAGTTGCGTCTTGTACTGTCGATAGAACTCCCCTGGAATTCCATCCAGCCCAGGTGACCTGCCCGGGGCAGTCTGAGATATGGCTTCAGTCACCTCACCAACGGTGACATCTGCAGCTCCAAGCTGGGCGGCTGCCGCTGCATCAAGACGCTGCGAATGCTGCCTCACTGCTTGCAGCACAGCCTGCCGTTGTGCCTGTTGAACCTGAGGTGCCACAGTCAGGTCAGCATACCGCCTACCGATGATACGCGCCAGACTCACACTGTCACGCACCAGGTGGCCAGTACCAGGGGCTCGCAGGCCTCCAATATACGTGGCCCCCTTGGGAGGCTTCAGAATCTTGGTCATTGCTGGTCCAGGCCGCTCGCCCTGGTGCACCCACTGCCACCTGCGCCGCGCCCGCTGCACATCTTCCTCCTGCTGTTGCAATGTTGCCAGTTGAGCCCTGGCATCCACCACAGACTGCAGGGCTGCTGGCAACGCGGCATCATTGCACACCTCAAGCGTGCCATGCGCCGCCATCACCGCGGCTGCTGCTGCTGTATGCTGCGCCGTTGCTGGCTGGGCTGCCTGAGCTATCCTGGCCATCCATTTAGTTCTGCAAATTTTGCGGTGAGCCGTCGCTTAAACGCCGGCCACCACTGAATGATAAAAGTTGCTGCATCTGCCGGTGGCTGCTGGGACGCCAGCCACGCCTGCATTGCTGCTCTACACTGCGCATCCCGCTGAAATGACATACGCAGCCGCCTGAGCCCAGGTCCCAACACGCCCGGGCCGCGCGGCTGCAGCTGCGTCACCACTGCTGAATGGTCACTGAGAGCTGCAGTCTTGTCCTCATGTCGGCTGGCCACCACCTGCGGCATCAAGGTATCTGAACAGTAAATCCTGTCAATACGTGACGCTGCATTGGCACGCACATATGTGTACGCGCGGCGCGCCGGGTGCTTATCCCGCCATACATCACGCATGCGAGGCAGATGCTGTGCCCAAGCTGCTGCTGGCGCGGCATCACGCGGCAGCAGGGGTTGCTGCTGCTGCTGCTGTTGCTGATGCTGCTGCTGTAGCTGCTGCTGGCTGCTGCTGTTGCTGCTGCTGCTGCTGCTGCTGCTGCTGCTGCTGCTGCTGCTGGGAAGCAAATTGTCTGCGGTCCATGCCTCTACTGGACACAAAGTTAAAATCGCCCAGAAAAATCAGGCCAGTGGCTGGTTGTTGCCGATGTTGTTGGTAGAGCTCCCGCAGAGGGCCGCTGATGATGGCTGCATTTGCTGCGGGATCAGATGCATGCATGTAGATGCCCACCACCTGCAGACGCTGCCCTGCCCAGACTAGAGGCACACACAGCATCCTGCCCTGGGCAGGGCCGTCAACAGGCGCATGTACCTCCCCCTGCACCTGCAAGGCCCCACTGGCGAGAAGGCTGCTGCGGACCAGAACTGCCACGCCGGCTCTGGTGCGACCCTGACCTGGAAGCCCCACACACCAAAACGACGACCAACCCCGTACCTGCAGCCGGCGTTGTACCGCCGGCCGCTCCATGAAGTTAACGTGTGTATCCACCGCCGCCACAACGTCCAGGCCCAGCTGCTGCCACTGACTACTGAGCGCTGGTAGCTTGTTGGCCAAGCCATTGACGTTGTGTAGGCCCATTCTCAGGTATGGGCCTCTAGGCATGGGACACGGAGGGCATGGCCGCCATCACCAGCTCGCGTGCTGCTGCAGGCTGGGTCGGCGGGCTAGAGCCGTCAAGCTCCAGATTGCTGGACGATGCGGATGTCGGCAGCTGCTGTTGCTGCTGCTGCTGCTGGTGGCTGTGGTGCTGCGGCTCCCGGGTGGCACGCTCAGCCCCCTTAGACGCCGCTGACTCCACCGCGCTGAACTTACGCGGAGGTGAGAGACTCCGCGTGTCACGCGCGGTGACACGTTTGACAATGCAGGCCCCTGCCTGCTCCTGCTGTTGTTGTGGTTGCTGCTGCTGCTGCTGCTGCTGCTGCTGTTGCTGCTGCTGCTGCTGCTGCTGCTGCCGCTGCTGCTGCTGTGGCTCGGCCTCCCTCTCCACAGCTACAGCGGCTGGCCGCGCCGGGCGCCGCTGCTGCGTAGCTAGCTGGACGCTCACCCGCTTGGGGTTCTGCGGCTTGCGTAGGTTCTTGACCGGTTTAAGCGGCGTGGCCGGCGGAGCGCGCCGTGGCCCCCCGCGCCGCAGCAGCTGCCGCAACAGCTGCTCCTCCTGCACCGGCTGCCGTTGCCGCTCCTGCCCTGGCGCCGCAGGCACGGCAACGGCCGGGGCAGCAGAACCCGCTGCCGGCAGCGCCGCAGTCGCTGCTGGTGCTGTTGCTGCTGAACCTGCCTCCGATGCTGCTACAGGTGTTGCCGCGGCCGCCGCTGCCGCTGATGGTGCTGCTGCTGACGGTGCCGCCTCCGCTGCCTCCGGCTCAGGATCAGCGGTCGACATAGCCTCATCAGTCTCCTCCGAATCGCTAGCCGCCGCGCCTGGCGCAGCAGCCACTGACTCTGGTACTGACCCTGCTGCTGTTGCTGCCGCTGCCGCCTCAGTTGCCGCTGGCATCTCCTGCTGCTGCTGCTGCTGCTGTTGCTGCTGCTGCTGCTGCTGCTGCTGCCGCTGCTGCTGCTGTGGCTCGGCCTCCCTCTCCACAGCTACAGCGGCTGGCCGCGCCGGGCGCCGCTGCTGCGTAGCTAGCTGGACGCTCCCCGCTTGGGGTTCTGCGGCTTGCGTAGGTTCGTGACCGGTTTAAGCGGCGTGGCCGGCGGAGCGCGCCGTGGCCCCCCGCGCCGCAGCAGCTGCCGCAACAGCTGCTCCTCCTGCACCGGCTGCCGTTGCCGCTCCTGCCCTGGCGCCGCAGGCACGGCAACTGCCGGGGCATCAGAACCCGCTGCCGGCAGCGCCGCAGTCGCTGCTGGTGCTGTTGCTGCTGAACCTGCCTCCGATGCTGCTACAGGTGTTGCCGCGGCCGCCGCTGCCGCTGATGGTGCTGCTGCTGACGGTGCCGCCTCCGCTGCCTCCGGCTCAGGATCAGCGGTCGACATAGCCTCGTCAGTCTCCTCCGAATCGCTAGCCGCCGCGCCTGGCGCAGCAGCCACTGACTCTGGTACTGACCCTGCTGCGGTTGCTGCCGCTGCCGCCTCAGTTGCCGCTGGCATCTCCTGTGCAGTTGCCGCATCAGGCGGCACTGCTGCTGCCGCTGCTGCTGCTGGAGCCGCCTGCGCCGCTGGTGCAGCAGGCGCTGCTGCTGCTGCTGCTGCTGCTGCTGCTGCTGCTGGTGGTGCCTCTGGCGCCGCTGGCGCGGCAGGTGCTGCCGCTGCAGCCGCTGCCAGTGCAGCCGGAGCATCCGGCGTCGCCACTGCTGCTGCCGCTGTCGCTGTCGCTGCTGCTGCTTCTGTTGCTGCTGCTGGTGTTACTGGCGCTGTTGCTGCCGCCGCTGCTCTGTCGCCCGCCAGTGCAGCAAGAGGCCCGTGCCCTGCAAAGTCCACGCGCTGCTCCCGCACCTGCATCCGCGCCAATGCCTTGTTGTACTCAGCCTCAGCAGCCGCCACAAACGACGGCTGCGGTGCTGGCGCTTCCCGCAGCTGCACGTCCCAGGCCCGGCCCCCGGCAGCCAGCGTGATGCTGGACGGTGTGGCGCCCGTCACCGCTGCTGCAAAGCGCAAGACATTCCTGCAGTCCTGCTCTTGCACCTGCGCATATGCGGCGGACAGCACAATGATGCCGCGGCTGCGCAAGGCATTCACCACTGCAGCCACGCTGGCGCCCCGCACCCCGGTCAGCGTGAAGGCTCGCACTGGCAGATCCTTGTACTGGGCTGACAGCGGCACAGCGACCTGCTGCGCACCGACAAACCCTGTCACAGGGTCCACCAGCCGCGGCAGCTGCTGCTTGTCCGTCACCAGCAGCCCGTACCCAACGTTGAAAACTGACAGCAGCCCCTGCCCGCCCTGCCGGAGCTCGGACGATGACCAGAAACGCGGCTTATCATCGCCACGGCAAAGGCCTGGCGCCTCTGCCAGCAACTCGAACTCCTGCACCAGCCCCTTCAGCTCCTCTGGCGTGAGGCTGCTGCGGCCAGGGAAACGCCGCACAACCTCCAGCGCAGGGAGCACTGGCGCATCCACTTGCAGCGCAAGGCTAGCAGGGAAAGAATGATCCGCCCTGTGCGCTCGGCGCCGCTGCAGCCGCTCAGCAGCAGCAGCCTGTCGCTGCTGCTGATGGCGTGCTGCTGGCTGTGGCTGCTGCCGCTGCTGCTGCTGCTGTCGCTGCTGCCGAGGGTCTGCTTGCGACCCCCCTGCCTGGCCTGGAGACGCTGCTGTAGCTGCTGCTGCTGCTGCTGCTGCTGCTGTCGCTGCTGGGGCTTTTGCTGCCTTCGCTGCTGAAAAAAAACAGCGTCGCTTCGAAGAAGAAGAGGGGTTACATGGTGTGCACAGGCGACTACGTCGCAACGAACACCCGAAAACAAAGAGAGCTGCTAGAAGTTCAGCGGAAAAACAGACTGTCACCCAAAAGAGGCCCACCCCGAGAAAGCCTCTGTGTGCGAGACATGACACGTGGCTCTGCAGGCAGAACCGTCAGACTCACAACACGCAGTGTAGAATTCTATTGGGACAAGCAGCATGACTAACCTAAAACAGTGTCGGTGACAGCAGGCCATACTTGTGCAGTACAGCGGGCGGGCTGAACTCAACGGGACAAAGTTGGCCAGTAAAGGTCAATACCTTGGTCCGAGGCAGCAAACAGGGGGGGGGGGAGCAGAGTACCTGGCAGCTGCTGCAGGGGCAATGCAACTGCAGGGGCAATGCAACAGCGTCGCTTCGAACGCAGCCTGAAAATAACACCTTCTGTGTTATAAAGGTAAATTGAGGCGCTTGATGCATTTCATCACAGGATACAGCTGCGTTGTCCGAGTGGTCTAAGGAGGACGACTTAAGATCGTTTCTGCATTCGCAGGCATGGGTTCGAACCCCATACGCAGCACTTTGATTTTAGCAGGACTGAGACAACACCGTTCGACTTGCACGCTGTGATCCACCGCAACAGGCAGCCACAGGTGCGTATATCATAAACCAAGGTGTGTTGTGCGGAGCATAGTACCATTACTGTAGTAGTTCTTTAGTGCAAAGGGTCGGCACATGCCATGGTTGTCAACCCTCCACTCCTGTCACCCCCTGAAGCCCAGCCCTAGACCAAGGGTCCACTGCGGGCCATGGCTCCTGTGGGGCGCGGGGCCAATGGCGGCGTTGGTGCTTTGGCTTAAATGGGTAACATGATGCTATGAACCTCATGGACTTGCTGCATATGTCGGACTGTGTTCAGTACTGTGTGTTGCTACTGCTGACGCTGCTTTTTGACCTTCCTGCTCCCTGCTGCTGCTCTGCCACCGCCACCGTCACCGCCATTCCCAGCACCAGCTGCTTTTCCACCGCTGCTGCCACCCAGTGCCTGCAGCTGCACTGTCCATGCCTGCAGCACACCAGCTAGCCCGTACAGGTACCCCCTCACACCTGCTGCTGCTGCTGCTTGATTGACCACGTCTGCACCCTCCCTGCCCGGACCCTGCCTGCTGTGGCAGCTACAAATGCAGGCGCTGCTGCTACCAGCATGCTGCTGCACTCGCTGCACTGCTCTGTTTGCAGCTTCAGGTGCATCAACAGCTGCTGCTGCATTTGCTGCTGCTGCTGGTAGAGTGTGCTGCTCCATGGCCTGCAGCTCTTGCTGTGCTGCTTGCACTGCCTGTGCATCCGCCTTCAGAGCCCGGCCCAGCTGCTTCCTGCAAGCCTTGCCGTAACGCTGCAGCAACCGCCCCTTCAAGTCTTCCCAAGCATCGCTGACAGCTGCAGCAGTAGCAGCAGCAGCTGGACTATTGTGCATGCCTGTTGCACTGATAACACCGCCATGGTCTGGATTTGCAGCTGGTGCAGCTGATGCAGCAGCAGCAGCAGCGCCATCATCCTCTAGCAACATCGCGGCAGTCGACGACACTGCCGCTGCCAAGCTGCCAGCAGCGACGCCAGCCAGCGCCTGCTGCCGCTGCAGCATCACCCGCTGCACTGCTGCCGGCTGTAGCAGCTGCTCGTCATCACACAGACACACTGCCATCGCGGCAAGCACAGACACCAGGTGCTGCTGCTGCCAGCCCTCCTGCTGGCGCTGCTGGTCGTGACGCCGGTCAGCTGCGCAGTCTGGTGATGCTGGCATGACAAAGGAATGGCTCAGGCCCAGCCCAGTGGCAGCAAGCAGCTGCAGCTTTGCAGGCCGCAAGGGGTCACCCTCAGCAGGGCACACCAGCATCTCATACACATGCTGCATGCCACCCAGCTTGGAGCCACACGGTGGCGTGTCCGCCACACTTGCAGCACCTGCTGCAGGTGCTGGTGGTGCTTCTGCTGGCGCCGCTGCCTGCAAGTGGGATCTGACAGGCTCTTCAGCGGCCACAGCAGCAGGCCCCTGGTCCACCAGCAGCTGCTGGCAGCTGATCGGGCGTCCTGCCTGGCTGCCGCTGCTGGTGAGCTGCAGACCTGCTGGCAGGCTGCAGCTGGCTGTCACTGTCACGATAGCTCCTGGCTGCTGCTGCTGCTGGCGTGGTGAGCTGTCGTCTGGGCACACGTTGCTGCATGACGCTTCCAGGACAAGGGTGCGCAGCTCCTGCAGCAGCAGCAGCAGCAGCAGCGGGCAGCGGGCGGCGGCCTCAAGGTGATGCGTTCAGACGAATCTACCCTGTTTGTGCCTCTAGTTCGCTATCAGGTGGGCCATCACTAAGGTGCAGCGAGCCGCAGCAAGCCCCAGCGCACTGCAGCACGCAACTGAAGGGGAGGCAGGCGCGCTGGTGCGCTGCACGACTGTGTTTGGCTGGAAGTGGTTCCTTGTGAAAGTAGCCAGCCACACTGGACTTTACACAACGCAAGCAGCTTGCAAGACGGCAGGCGGTCTGGGTGAGGCGCTGCGCAGATGCACAACATGTGTTCGGCAGTTTTTTTGTAAGATTCGTGCTGACTAACAATCACCACACACGATATGTTCTGCATCATGCGCAATAAGGGCACCAGGCATACCTTCTGCAGGAGACATTCAGCCTTATGCAGAAGACAATCAGCACATGTGCTGTTTTCACACATCATATGATCCAGCAGCTAGCCGTATGCCAGGTGCACGATCTGCAGTGTGCTGACTGCCCACCCCAATCGGCTGCCATCAGCAGTGCAGGCTGCACGGTTGTGCACAGAGAACCACCGGTCACACCACGCAGCACAGCAGCTGACCACCCCTTATGTACACATGATGATCCGCCAAGCTGCTGGCCTGACCTAAGTGCCTGCTGGCCTGATCCAAGTGCCAGGCAGTTGCCAGAAGCTGCCGGCCTGAACCAAGTGTCAGTAGCCGTGGTTGCCGCACCACTGCACAATGGCGCAAGCAGAGTGTGTGTGTATGTGTGTGTGTGCCGCGGCAGCTAGACATACCTTCAGCGCAGATCCGAGGTGGGCACCAACACACGCTGCTAACCGCCCCCAAAGCCACCTGCAGCGCTGCAGCTTGCACACTAGGCAGTGATCGATCGTGCAAGCCAGCAAAGGACGTTGCAAGCACGCCATGTGACACAGCGGCTGGCCATACCTGTGGCACACGCTCCAAGGCGGGGATCAACACAAGCTGTCCGCCTGGCTCAGCTGTCAGGGGCAGCGCGGCCTGCTGCACCAGTGCAGCTGCCCAGGCAAACAGCTGCAGCGCTGCCTGCTGGCCACTGCGCACGAGCGACATCAACTGTGCATGCTGCTGCTGCTGCTGCTGCTCGTTGTGTTGGCCAGCAGCAGCAGAGGCAGAGTGGCGCAGCAGCTGGTGGAACCGCTCCTGCAGCTCCTCTGACGCCTCCAGCAGCTGCTGCCCTGCAGGGGTGCCTGCAGCAGCAGCAGCAGCAGCAGCAGCAGCAGCAGCAGCAGCAGCAGCAGCAGCAGCAGCAGCAGCAGCAGTAGCAGCAGCAGCAGCAGCAGCAGCAGCAGCAGCAGCAGTAGCAGCAGCAGCGGCAGCAGCAGCGGCAGCAGCAGGCTAGGCATCACCATCAAAGCTGGCACAAGGACTGAAGCCCAACAGTCTGTAAAGCAATGGCAGACTGAACAACGCAAGGTTCACACCAACAACGGGCTGAATAGTGGTAACAATGTGACACAGCTGGAAAGCAATGCATTGCCAGGCACAGCACAGCACCACTGCCCGGTTTGCAATGCGTGAGCAGCCTCCGTGCTCGCAATAGCCAACAGCACTGGAACAACAACCATGCATACCTTGCAGCAGCATCACAAGCTCCTGATGATGCTCCATGAGCCACCACGGCAGCAGCTGCCCCTGCTGCTGCAGCTGGCCCCTGTCCCGCTGCTGCTGCTGCTGCTGCTGCTGCTGCTGCTGCTGCTGCCAGCCGTCTTTGATGTATGCAGCGACACCCCGCTGCTGCTGCTGCTGGTCCAACAAGCCTGCCGCTGCCAGCATCACCTGCACCACCAGCTGCTGCTCACTGCCGCCAACTAAGCATGCTTGCAGTGGCACCTGCAGCAGCAAGCTGCCAGGTCCTAGGTCTTTGGTGGTGCTCAAACCCCTGCAGGACTTGCACCAGCCAACACCTCCACCCAAGTGTGAATCACCTGGCCCTGAAATGACTTGCATCTGCTGCTGCTCATCGCCAGCGGCAGCAGCATGTGTAACCGTTGTTGCTGCTGCCGCTTGCAGCAGTTCAAGCAGCGCTGCATTCACTGCTGCCAGCGCTGCTTTGAGTGCGCGCTGCTGAGACAGCACATACCCTGCAGCCAGCCGCAAATGCTGCTGCTGTTGCTGCTGCTGCTGCTGCTGCTGCTGCTGCTGCTGCAGGATCTGCTGCAGCTGGGCTGCTGGCAGCATGCCGTGCAGTTTTGAGCGCAGCTGCTGCCTCAGCTGCTGCAGCACCGCCAACTTCTGCGGCACTGAAGCACCAGAGTACCAATGCACACCGCTGCTGCACCCACCCTCCTCCGACTTTGCTGCTTCTGCAGTTCGCTGTCCTGCTGCTGCTGCTGCTGCTGAGGCGACTTGGCGGTGTGCACAGCCGCCAGCAGCTGAGGCAGCTGCCAGCCAGGCACCCCCACCACCAGCAGCAGCACATCCAGCAGCTGCTGCGGCAACGGCTGCTGCTCACTGATCGGCACGTCGAGCCCCAGGCCTGCTGCTGCTATGACGGCCAGCCGCTGCTGCCAGACTGCTGAGTCATCGCATGCAGCTTCTGCTCCTTCTGAACTTTCGCCTGGGCTGCCTTGATGTGCAAGGCTTTCTGGTGAGTCAGCATCAGGTGACGGTGCACCTACTGCTTCTAACGCAGCGGGCGCTAAATCAGCAACTGTATCCACACCTGCTGCTGCTGCTGCTGCTGCTGCTGCTGCTGGCCTGCTGCTGATGCTGACTAAGAAGCTGTCGTGTGGGTTGTGCTGCAGTACAAAACCGTAGCCCAGCAGCAGCTCCTCATTGGGCTTAGTGGTACCTGACCATGAAGGCAGCAGCAGCGGCAGCAGAAGCAGCAGCAGCAGAAGCAAATTAAGCCACTGAGACTCGTCAAAGGCAACTTAGTTGCACAAAGCAGGCCTAATAAAAAACAGGCTCTGCAAACGTGGCTGCATGATGTGCAACGTACAATCCTGCCTCCTGCTGCAGTGTCACGGGGGTGTAACCTTGCGTGTGTTACTAACTGCTCACTCACCATAGTTATTGAAGAGCTCGTCACCCTGACCCAGCACAGCAGCAGCAGCAGCAGTAGCAGCAGCAGCAGCAGCAGCATCAGCATCAGCAGCAGCAGCAGCAGCAGCAGCAGCAACAGCAGCAATGTTGGCACGAAAAAAGCAGCCGCATGTCAGCTGCAAGTCGCGCAGACACCTATCCGCTGTAACTCATAATTGGACCTCCATAGCTCATGTGGCAACCTGGACCTCTAGAGCTGCAGTTGATTAACTTTACCTTTGTAGCCG